GAGCAAGCCGTGGCTCTCCGGCGCCCCAGCTCCGCTGCGGAGGAGCGCAGCGGGTCCGCCCTCCGGGCACGGGCCGCCGCTGCCCGGGACGCAGCAGCAGTCCGGGAGGCTGTGGAAGTGTTTATTTATATTGTCCTTTTTTACCGAAGACATGCATACTCCATCGATGTTGTATTCACAGTGGCTGAGGAATTCTTGTACGCAGTTTCTTTGGCTTCACGAAGCCGATTAAAAGACCGTGTGAAACGAACCTCACTCTGACCTTTCCCTTTCGTTCCGACACACCGAGCTGCGGCTCCGTGGCCAGCAGGGCAGCTAGGAAGGAGGCAGGGCACGGGAGGCCCGAGCAGCAGCCGGGACAAGGGGAGCGGGCAGTGCGGAGGGGAGCGGGGCAGCCCCGGCCAGCCTAGGCCGGGTGCGCGCGGGCAGGACCGGGAGGCTGCCTAGCGGCGGCGGGCCAGTTGCAGGCCTTCTCTGCTAGCCTCCGAAGCCGCGGCCCCGGGGACAGACGCGAGCGAGCCGCAGACCCTCCGAGACTTGCCTGCTGCTCCCCGCTAGCCCTGCAGCTGGCCTGGCCTCGAGGTAACACCTTCGCTCGTGTCGCACCCTCCGGGTAGAGCTCGCTGGACGGAAACGTAGGCCTGGGCGGCCCTGGCGCCCCGGAAGAGTCCTGCGGCCGGCCGGGCGGGCGCCTGCCGCCGTGGCACGTTTTTGTTCCCGCTCGACGGGCTTCGGTGGGCCGCCGAGCCGGGCCGCAGGAGGGCGCCGCGAGAGTGGGAGCCGAGGCGGGAGGCGGGAGGGCGCTGCAGACCCGCGGGGACGCCAGGGTCACGCGCCTCTGTTTGGCAGGATGAAGGGGAGCCAGCCCGCACCCTGGGAGGACGGCTGTGGCGGACGGCGGGAGCAAGACCCCGGACTGCGCGCGCGGGCCTGGTGAGTGCGCGGGACGGGCCGGGGGGGGGGGGGGTGCCGGGGTCGGTCCCGGGCCGGCTTTCCTGACCCATCCCCCCCTCTTCCTTCCAGGCGGTTCCCGAGCTGACCCCCGCTCCGGGCGGACGCAGGCTTCCTGCCGGACCAGAGGCGGCGGCGGGCCGGCGGGGTTGCGGGCAGGACGGCGGGTGGCCCGAATAAAGGCTGTGGCCCAGAACCCCGACTGTGTTGCTTGGGTCTGGGGCGCGGGGAGAAGGGATAAGCCGGCGCGGGCAGAGTTCTGACGACGCCCACCCGTCTGCACAGCCGGGCAGGGATGAGCAACCCGGCCATGCGCGGCGCGGGAGGGCGGGGCGAGCGGGCGGGAGGGCGGGGCCCGGCGCACTTCCGCCTTGGCTCCGCGGCTCCGGCATGGCGCCGTGCACGCTGCTGCCGCCGCCGCTGCTGCTGCTGCTGCTGCTCCGGTGCGCCGTCCCGGGGTCCACCGAAAACTCCAGCTGGCCGGCCGTACCTCGCAACTATACACACGGGGGGCCCCCGGGCACGGGCCCCATGCTGCTGCGCTTGTTCTACGTAATCACCGGGCTCAGCGGCCTCATCTCGCTCTACTTCCTCATCCGGGCTTTTAGGTGCGTTAGCGCATCCAATCAGCATCTAGTAAGTCATTGCAGGGTGGGCGGGAGAGCACGTGACTCAGGCATCCGGCCTAGTTCTTGTTCCTGACTCCTGTGGTTTCTAGACTGGCCTAAGTGGGCAGCGGCTTCAGTATGGCCATCCTCCTGCCTCAGTCTCCCCAGTGCTGTGTGACAGACATACAAAAAACTGCGCCGGCCAGACTGCAAGAAATGCAAAATGCCTTCCCTGAGGGTCAGTGGGTAAAGCTTTTCCCTCACACGCACAAAGCCCTGGGTCCTCATCTCAACACTCCAGTGGAGACGACGGGAGTTAGGGTCACCTGACCTGGAGAATGAAATGGTCAGCCTGGGTGACAGGACACTCAAAGGAAGAACCCAAAGCCTCCGATCCCCCATTTTTTCCTAGCTGCTCTGACAGACAGCAGCCTGTGCTCTAAAGAGGAAACTGGCGGGCGAGCCGACCCGAGCCTGTGCCTCCGTGGCTTTCCCGTGCCCAGGGTCGCCGACCCGAGCCTCCGTGGCTTTCCCGTGCCCAGGGTCGGCGACCCGAGCCTCCGTGGCTTTCCCGTGCCCAGGGTCGCTCTTGCAGCTCTTACAACGAAAGGATTCACACCATGCAGATGCCTTAGGCCTTGGGGGTGGGGGTGGGCAGGAGCATGCTGGTGGCCTCAGGGTGTTTGTGCCCCCTGCAGACTCAAGAGGACACAGCGAAGGAGGTATGGGCTTCTGACCAACACAGAGGAGCATGAAGAGATGGCCTCCCTGGACAGCGAGGAAGAGACTGTCTTTGAAACCAGGAATCTGAGATGGTAGGAAGACTTCACTAACAGGGTTCGGGGTCTAGCTCAGAGGTAGAAGCTTCGCCTAGAATACCCCAGTGCGCTCGGGGAGTGTGCCGAGGGGGCAGGCGTCAGGAAGGTTCATGGTGGCTTTAATGGGAGCAGACCCAGGAGTGTTCCAGGGGAGGGCCGCACGGGAGGCGGGCGGCACTGTGGACAGGGTGGACCGGCACTGGGATGAGCAGGTGGCATCAGGGCTGACTGTGCTTTATGATGGAGCTGCCATAGAGCCAGGACCCCCATGGGCCTGGCTTTCCAGGGCCCCTGAAGGAGGTGGACATGACCTGGCTTCACTTCCTGTGGGCTGGGCTGGGTTGGAAGGAGGCCCCTCCAGCCATCATCACTCCATCCCATGTCCCGTCCGTCCCCCACTGCAGATATGGAGGGGGACGTCAGGCTGTAAGGACAGTAGAGGACGTGTTCTGTGGGCTCGGATGTCGGCCTTCCTGGAGGCGGCCTGCACAGTCCCTGGACGCCGCGTGGGCCAGGACAGTCTGACCTCACCTCGCCGAGAGCAGCCCACAGACTTGAGGCCCCCAAAGCTGGACTGACCTGTGCTGCTCTGTCATCCTGCCTCCCGTGCGGGACAAGGCAGCCCTGCAGGCGTGATGGAGCAGACGGACCTTCCTGCTGCTTTGGGAACAATAAAGAAGCAGTGGCCTTGTGGCTGACCTGAAACCCCCCTGGACTCCACACCCAGGTGTGCTGGTGACATGAGTGAGGGCCGTCGTTCCTGGCCGCCTAGGACCAGGCCCTTCCCATTGATGTCACGTGTTCCAAGGCCGCAGCGGTGGCAGAGTTTCCCAGGAGCTTCTGGGCTGCAGTTCAGCATTAGCCATTCACCCTCCCTCTATGGTCTTAGCCTGGGGGAGAGGGGCACAGGAAAGCCTAAGTCACTTGCAGCCTGAAGTCAGCCTCAGTCTTCCAAGCGACTGTTCTGTCCACTCTTTCTCGTCACAAGTTGCCACCAGGTGGCAGTCACACGCCGCCTAGCCTCCCAGGACCCCACCAGTTATTCTGCAAATAGGCCCTCTAAAGAACCCTCCGACCTCTGTGTCCTCGTGGGTGGCCTGGATTTGTTGTCCGGCTCCTGTTCTGTGGACACCCAGTCCTCATCCACTTCCGGGCCCCACTGACCCTCCAGCTGGGCCGAGCTGGGCCCCTGAGGCTGCCCGGAGTGTTGGTGCCAGGCTGGGCGGCCTCTGTTTCCACCCTGTGGTCTGGATGGAGCGCCTGGCCAAGCCCATTCTTGTCTCTGCCTGTCCCTGCAGTGGCTGGGACCCCCGCTCAGCCAGGCCTGCTGCCCGCAGGAAGCCTCTGGCCTGCACCCCCAGCCTGCACCCAGGGGAGGCCGTGTTCCCGGGTCGTGGCTCTGGGGGCCCTGTGCCTTCCTTCTTGGTCACTCTCCATCTTGTGTTGGGCCTGCTGGATGGGCCTGGTCCCCGGCCCCCAAACTGTGATCTGTGCCCCGGGTCCCACAGCTCAGCCATTGCTGGAGCTTCAAAAGGCAGGGTGATTAGTCTAATGAGGTCAGGAGAGACCCAGGCCCCCACCCCAGCCTCCGTGAGCGCAGGGAGGGTGGCCCCACCACCATCTGCCTGTCGGCAGTCACCGCACCCCAGCATTAGCGCGGATAATTGGCACTTCCGTCAAGGTTAATGCACTATTAGCCGGTGCTCTGCACAGCTGAAAGCCAGGAGAGGGGCCTGTCAGGCAAGATGGACGGCCTGGGGGCCGGGCCAGCCTGCGTGTGCACGGAGAGTGCGTGTGCATGCCTCGGGCAGCTCCCAGCACCAAACACAGGCGGCCGGGCTTGAACTCAAGACCCTGTTGCCGCTTGTGCCCGTCCTGAGTCTGAGCCCCGGCCTGGCAGAGGCAGCTGGGGCCGGTTGCTGCCGACCCGAGTTGGTTCCCGGAACCCGCATGGTCAAAGGACAGAGCTCACTCCTGTAAGCTGGCCTGTGACGGCTACGCCACAAGACACAAAAAATAAAAACCCTGGATGTGGGCAAGCCAGGCCTCTAGTGGGGCTCCACCCTAGCCAGCCCTCAGGTGTTCCACTGGGGGCGTGGGGGCAGTGAATGTCGCTGTCCTCTCCCTGGGAAGTCAGAATCATGACCCATTTGCATCAAGCCCCCCAGGGACAGCAGGCCAGGGTCCCTGAACCTCTGTGGGGTTCAAGCCAGCATTGGTCTCTCCCCAGGGGGCCTGGGCAGGCACCGGAGTTGCCCGGGAACCAGACACAGCTGTCTGCTGGGACTTGGATGGTCTTGTTGTAGGAAGCTGGGTTTGGGGCTGGGGCCAGGGCCTTGGGTGTGGAGGGAGAGGAAGATGTTGAGCAGGAAGGAGGGAGGGTGGTTACATTTGAGAAGAGAGGGAGGCGGAAGGAGGATGGTGGAGCAGAGAGAGAGAGGAGGGGGTCCTTCCGGGGTTGTGCTTCCAAAGATTCTTCTTTGGGACGCAGTGGATGCCTGTTGCTGCAGCTGGGCAAGCCACCCACCCTGTCCTTACGCTGCAGGTGACTAGGTAGAAGGGGTCACTCATGGGATCCACATCCCGCACCCCCTCAACTGCCCAATGCTGCCTCGCTCAGGCGGGCAATTTGGTACAATTTATTCTGTAATGAGAAATTACTCTCTGCATATTTTTAGCCCCCTGCCTAGCGATGTGGCCTTTGATGGCTGTGGGGCCGCCAGACTGTGAGATCAGGAGCCTGAGGCCTTGCCCTGGGTACCAGAGTGGGCTGGCGGTGGGCCATGGGGCACCAGCCAGGGTTGCTGGGTGCAGACTAGGTTGGGCCAGAGCCACTAAAGCCTTTCATGGTGTGGATCAGATCGTAGAGTGGACCGTGGCCTGAGCACACAGCGCCAGGAGATGGATGAAGGACCCAGGTAGCCTGGGACAGATCTCCACCCAAGATGTGTCCGAACCCACTCTTCACGCTGGTGACCCCTGACCTTCACTGACGTTCACCCCCATAGCAGGCCCCGACCTCCCACTGTCTCCAAAGCAAGGTGTGTTTTCCGGTGACCACCGACTGACCCTATGGACTGGGCCATGCTGCTCCGAGAGGAGACAGGGCCAGGCAGGAGTCTCTGGTTCTCTGGAACGGCTTTCCCTGCTCTCCCTCGTAGTGTGTGTCCTCAGGAACCAGGAGCGACTGGCGGGCTTGGGAGGTAGAGTGGGGGACAACCGCCTTTGTTCCTGTCCCCGCTCCGGATCTGACCTTGAGACAACAGACAAGAACAGAGCTTTCTGCTCAAATCCACTGGCGGCAGGCAGCTCTCAACTCGGTGGCCCCAGCATGCAAATGAGGCCTGGGGATGTGGCCTCCTTGCTAGGTGTCCTTGTGACTGGCCCTGGCGAGAACCTAACGTCCAGGCTGGCTGATGGCCCCCATCTTGACTGCCCTCCCCATTCCAAGGCGGACTCATGTCCCAGCAGGGCAGCCCCGAGACACTCACCTTTATGTCCCATGGTGCCACCAGGGCCTGCCCTGGGGATCTGAGAACACCCCACAGACAAGTTCAAGTCCCTGAGCGTAACCTGTGCTGAAGAGGGTGGGACAGGCCGACAGGAAGGATTCCAGCGGTCAGATCTGGGGGAGACCTAATACCTGCCCCCCTCCCCGTGCGTGCGTGCATGTGTGTGTGTGTGTGTGTGTGTGTGTGTGCGCGCATGTGCGCACGTGTGTGTGTGGTGCGTGCGTGTGTGTGGTGCGTGCGTGTGTGTGTGCGCACGTGTGTGCACGTGTGTGGTGCGTGTGTGTGCACGTGCATATGTGTGTGGTGTGCAAGTGTGTGCGTGTGTGCATGTGCACGTGTGTGTGGTGTGCAAGTGTGTGTGTGCATGTGTGCGTATGTGTGTGGTGCGCAAGTGTGTGGTGCATGTGTGCATATGTGTGTGGTGTGTGTGTGCACGTGTGTGTGTGTGTGTGCACGTGCGTGTGTGTGTGCACGTGTGTGTGGTGCGCGTGTGCACGGAGCTTGGGAACTGGTCACAGAAGGCCACATACCTGAGTTCTTTGGATTGCCCCAGTCTGCGCACAGAGGGGCCTCTTAGATCCCAGGGGTCCCACACACCCCGCTCTGGACCCGGCACATGAAAAGCGCACCAGCCAACCCACGGGGTGCACAGTCGGCGTCCGGGCCTCCGCCCTCCCCCAGAAGCCCCCTCCCCCGGGCTGGGGGGCAGCTCCCAGAGCGCCGACTCCCGGAGGTGACTCCCAGGGGCCTCAGGGAACTAGGCAAGGGTCACTAGGAACTTCAGCTGTTTTTCTGACACAGGGCTTCATGTAGCCCAGGCTGGCCCCAAACACCTGACGTAGCTAAGGATGACCTTGAATGTCGGATGCCCCTGCCTCAGCCTCCTGAGTGCTGGGAGGACGGGCGTGCACCACCACAGCTGTCCTACGACTTCTTTGTTTTTTTTCTTTTGAGACAAGGCCCCACTCTGCAGCCTAGTCTGGCCTGGAACTCGCGGCAATCCCCCTGCCTCAGCCTCCCGAGTGCTGAGGTGCCAGGCGCGGCGCACACCAGCCTTCAGGTCCAATCCGCACAGGGCGGGGCCACAGAGGGCCCGGCGCAGCGCCCTGGGGTTCCCCTTCCCGATGCGGGTGGCTGGGGCGGGACCCTGGGGATCCGCGGCAGAGTCTGCGCGAGTCTGGCCGGGGCGGGGCCCGGCTGAGGCTTGGAGGGTCCGGGGCGCGGCGGGAGGGGGCGCCCGCGACCCTCCAAGACGCTCCGGCGGGGACAAAGGCGAGGGGAGCCCCCGCGCCCGGGGAGCCCGGGAGAGCGCCTTGCGCAGTGCACGGCCCCGGGCCTCCGTCCCGCGCCACGGCCGCCTCCCGCCGCCTGGTTTCTCGGCGCCCGCGGTCTCCGGCGGGGGCCGCGCGCAGAGGCGGGGCGGCGGGATCTCCAAGCGCGCGGTGCTCCGCCCGCTCGGCGGCGGAGGCGGAGGCGGAGACGGCGGGGCCAGGCGGCGGCCGGAGAGCGAGCGAGCGAGCGAGCGCGGCGGCGGCACCGGGGCCATGGCGCCCGCGCAGCGCCCGCTGCTGCCGCTGCTGCTGCTGCTGCTGCCGCTGCGTGCGCGCAGCGAGGACCCGGCTCGCGCCAACGCTGACCGCTACGCAGTCTACTGGAACCGCAGCAACCCCAGGTGAGCGCGGAGGGGGGACCCCCGGGAACCCCAAGAGGCCCCAGCCCTGGGGATTGCAGCGCACGGACCTCCCCCTGAACTTCAGGGGTGCCTAGTATTCCCTCCAGGGCTCCTGGACTTTGGGGGAAACCCTCCGCACCCTCAGACGCTGGAGTTCCTTCGCTGGACTTGCGCGGGGGTGGGGGAGACACCCTTGAACCCCTGGCCTCCTGGAGGAGGGAGCACCCTGGAGGGATGAGGATTTGGTGGAGATCCCTGGGGACCTCCCTTACACCGGGAGAGTCCCCGGACGTGGCTCTTTTGGGAAGGTTCCTAGCGTCCTGTCTGTGGGTCCCCAGATGAACTTGGGGAAGTTGCAACGTCCCCTCTCTATCCCTCCGTTCACTCCAGGGGGGGTGCTCCAATCCCCCAGACACTTTAGAGGGACAGAGGGGACCCCAGGCACCAAGGAGGTGGAGGTCAGTTTGAGGGGTGCAACCTAGGCATATCGTTTTCCACCTTCCTTTTAGCTGCTAGGGAAACTGAGGTGCAGGGGGGGTGCAGGAGGGGGTGCCTCAAGGTCATGGCCAGAGAATTGGAGCTGGGACTGGAGACCCTGGTGGCCGAATGCCCAGCCTGCCACACCCAGCAGAGGCACCCGGTCCTGCCTGTCCAGCGGCGCCCAGTGGGTCAGATCCTGCCAGGCACTGGGTAGAGTCAGGGACCCGGCAGAAGCCTCTGTTACGGGCTGGGCAAGAAAAGTTTGATGGCCACTGACCACATTCCGAACACACAGAACCTTCTGGGTCGTTACAGGATCTCAGAGGTGGGTGCATGCTGGAGGGTTTCCTGGGAGACAGGCTTGGGGTGTTTGAGGCTTGGGCGCAGTATAGCGCTGACCGGTGAGGAACTAAGTCCGCTGCATCAGCCAGGATGCCCTCCTGATCCATGGACGGAAAGTTGCATAAAAGCTGGTCTTTCAGGCAAGCTGTGGGACAAGGGCCACCAGTGTCTCTCCGTGGGGATGGGAGCTCTCTGTCCCTGCCATCAAGGCAGGGCTGTGGGGTCCGGTCCCCTAGGGCTGAGGGTAGGGACCCCAGGGCCTTGCAGCAACCTGGCAAGACCACCACTTAGTGGGTTCCCCCACCCCCCACCCCCGCGCCTGCCCGCCCGCTATGCTGGTCACATGTGGGTTTGATTAAGACTCAGTGGCCGCGCAGGGAGCCGGGTGAGCTCTGCGCTTCCTTGGCCTAAGTTTTCTGGTTTTAGCTTGCAGAGTCTCTCTGTCCCCAGCGTGGCCTGTCCTTTGTCTGGAAAAAAACAAGGGATGGAGGGAATGTGAGGATGAAGAGAAGGGGGTCATGGCTGCCCCCGAAGTCCCCACTTGCCACGGGGACACAGGGCTGCGTGCCGGAACCCTGGCTCAGGAAGGAAAGAGGTGTCCCCCATCAGCACCAGGGTCCGGCATAGCCTGGCCACCTCCTGTTGCTGCGTGTTGGGACAGGCTTTCTGAGAGAATGGCCAGCCAGGCAGAGAGCTAGCCCTAGAGAGAGAGAGAGAGAGAGAGAGAGAGAGAGAGAGAGAGAGAGAGAGAGAGAGAGAGAGAGTGTGTGTGTGTGTGTGTGTGTGTGTGTGTGTGTGTGTGTGTCTCCTCAGGTCCCTGTCTCTTCCTTGGGTTCCTCCTGTGAGTGACCGTGCCGGGCATCCCACAGTGGGCCTGAGGACAGATGACGGCCATGCCTTGTCATTGACACAGCACACGGGGGTCTTGGCTGGGTATTGACGGGTGGTTCGTATGGGGACGATTTCGGTCTGGCATCCGAGGGGACGCAGTATCGGGGTGCAGTCTGGGGAGCTGGGCAGGATCGACAGCCCAGCCTGGCAGGCGACGCAGATTGGGGGCGTGATATAAAACAGGCAGTGACGGGGGTGCTGGGACCCCGAGCACGAGAGTGGGTCACACACAAAAGACACTGTGAACAGACGTGGGGGAGGGGTGGACCTGTCCTAGCGTACCCATGTCCACGTAGGACACACGCCTGTATGACTGAGAGGGCACACACACAGACACACACGCCAGCCACGCGCCCTGCCTCCTGGCCAGCCACACCTGCCCCAAGGCTGTGGACTGTGTGATGCTTTCCTGACGGCAGTGGTTCCACGGGAAAGCTTGGACACCACAACGGGCCTTGTGGATGGGGCCCCGCACCCGCCTGCCCAGGCACCCCCCAAAGCCCCTATCCAGGTCTGTCTGACCGGCCTACCCAGCTGGACACCCCGCCCTCACCTCTGGGTTCTCTAGACCTGTTCCGAGCTGTCTCCCGCTTGCCGGGGATGACCGGGACATCCCACCCCGGACACGGACCACTCATCCATTCTGTGGCCTAGCTCCGGCTCGTGTGGGTTTTGTCCCGCAGCTCACGCCCCTGTGTTCATGGAGTCTGCAGTGGCCCGTGGCTTTGCATGTGGCTGTGTGTTCTCATCCACAACTCCGGGGGAGCCCGGGATGTGCGTCTACGTAGAGCCGGCTGCCGCAGGGTGTATGTGACATGGCAGTCCAAGCTGGGGTGATTTCGTGTGTGCATGTGTGTGCATGGTTGTGCAGAGGAGCATGTGCGTGCATAGGCTAGAGTGGGGGTGCACACACAGATCTGCATGTGGCACGCATGTGCGAGTCTGTGTCGGAGTGTGAGCCTCACGTATGTGTGTTCATGGCTGTGTGGTGTGAGCCGAGGGCTGGTGTGGGGCCGGCTCTGCCCTCCCGTGGCCCCGCAGCATGGGCCCGGCAGCCTCAGGACCATCCACAGACGTGGCCTTACCAGGTGCCGCTCTTCCCTGCAGACAGGTCGTGAGGAGCCAAAGCAAGCGTCACATGAGATCACCGTTGCCTCCAGATGTCACTCACTCTGAGACATGGCTGAGCCTGGCCGGGCTCTGGGAGTGCGGCAACCCGGTGTCCCATACCAGGTGACCTCCATGTGGGCAGTAATGCTGCCACCCACCAGAACACCTGGATAGCAAGATGGTGGTGGCCCGGGCCCGGTTGCTGAGGCCGGCATCTTCTCTGTAGCAGAGTGTGGCCGGGTCCTGTCTCTGGCTCTGCCGGCCTCGCTCAGCCTGAAGGGGACCTGGCCATGTGTTTGTCTTTGTGTTTTGCAAGAGATTGTGTGGTGGTGGCACACATCTTTAACCCCAGCAGAGGCAGAGGCAGGTAGATGGATCTCTGAGTTCCAGGACAGCCTGGTCTACACAGTGAGTTCCAGGACAGCCAGGGCTGCAGAGAAACCCTGTCTCAAAAAATAAAAAAGAGAGAGAGAGAGAGAAAGAGATTGTCCTCCAAGATTAGGGGTGCTCCGAGTAGGCAAGGGCCAGAGGATTTGGGGTTCTGAGGACTTGGTGGTTGAATTGAATCTTGAGCGGCAGAATTGTTGACAGCCTGTGTGGACCTAAAGAATGAGAGACGATCGTGGTGCTCAGTCAAGAGGGAAACTGAGGCCGCTGCCAGAGACAAGTGCCGTTGGTAGTCGATGAGCCAGAAGAGCCATCTGCTAACTGGGCATGAAGCTGAGGCAGGGGGATTGCTGTAAGTTCCAGACCAGCTTGACCTACATGAAGCCCTAACTCAAAATAAACAAATAAATAAATAAAAGGTCTGGGGCTGGGCTCAGGGGAAGAGTGCTCACAGTGTACAGAAAGCCCTGGGTTCCGTCCCGGAACCATACAGACCAGGCGCAGTGGCAAAGGCCCGCCATCCCAAGACTGGAGAAGTGGGAGGATCAGTTCAGGGTCATCCTCAGCTACAGTGAGTTAGAGGCTAGCCTGGGCTACGTGAGGCCCGGGTCCCCCCGTTTCTTGTCTTGACCCCCAGTCTCTCTAGCAGGCCTCTGGCACCCAGCACCTGTCCTTAAGAGTCTGCAGAGGACCTCATGGGTCCCTGCGTCATGTCCCGCGTCATGTCCCGCGTGGGCAAGAGACATGGTCTGTAAGACCTCTCCGTGTATCCTTGTGTCTAAGGTGGACACCGAATGGTCGTGGTTCCTGCTGGACTTCAGGTCCCCATGTGCCTCCCACCCGGGTCCCCAGAAGCTGGCAGACTACTTCAAGGCCTGGACACCAGGGACCGAGGCCTCAGTGTGAGAGGTCTCGGGGCGGTCATTAACCCCTCAGTGAGAGTTTGTCTCCACCTGCTTGCTTTTTAGGGGTGGGCCCCCCACCAGCCGGTGCAAGGGTAGGTGCTGGCTCCCGGCTACCCACCTCCTTGGAACCAGGAATACCAACATGGCAAGGCTGGTGCGATTTTAGAGCCAGAGAGAAAGAAAAAGGAAAGTGGAATACTTCACCAGATCTGCTGGGGTAGCGGTGTCCCGGGTCCTCACTCTGTCCGCCCTGGAACTGTTCCCTGCTGATCCCAAAGGCCTCCGACCCTTGGCTTTTATGAAATTCGCTTGTTCAAACAACAGCGTGGATTGAGCACCACTGTATACAGGGTCTGGGTGGGCCACAGTTACAGAGCAGGGCACAGAAAACAGCTGTGGTTAATGGTGCATACCAGGGGTGGAAGGCTGGCTGAGCATGTGCAAAGGCCCTGTGGTGGAGACCGCACTGTGGAGTGGAGAGACCGAGGGTCCTGGTGAGGTGCCAGGGAAAGATGGATGGCGTTGGACCTCCGCGTCTGGGGTCTGGTTTATATTCAGAACAGCTGGCTGTGGATCTGGGGAGACCATGAAGCTGGCAGATCTTTGCCGTGGTTTACTGAGAACCACCATCCGTAATTCTGTCTGTCTGTCTGTGAGCAGTGGGCGTGGGCCGGGGGGACAGCCGCGTGGCTGAGATGGTTTGCTGTGCACATGCAAAGACCTGAATTCAGATCTCCAGAAGCCACAAGAAAGGCCGGGCGTGTCTCTGTGCAGTGTAACCCCAGTACTGTCTGAGGGGTTCAGGTTCAGTGAGGAACGGTGTGTGTGTGTGTGTGTGTGTGTGTGTGTGTGTGCGCGCGTGTGTGTGTGTGCGTGCGTGTGCGTTTTCGTCCTTTTCTGTCCTGTGCATGTGCAGACAGACAAATGGAGGAGTCTGGGGACATGGCTCTGTGGGTAAAGTGCTTGCCTTGCCAGAATCAGGATCCGAGTTCGATCCCGGCGCCCACAGCGGGTGGGGGTGGGGCACGGGGTGGGGGCTCCAACACTTGAGGCGCAGAGTGACGGGGAGAGCCGCCAGGCATGTTCTCTTGGAAGCTGTCACCCACCATGGGGTGTACGGTGGGCACACCTCCCCTGTGCCGAGGATTACACCTGAATGTAAGGGAAACTGAGGCTCCAGGACACTGCCAGACCCATGGCTGAGCCACGCAGGCGGCTCGGTGCAGGGGCGAGCCGGGGAGCAGCAAGATCAGCCCTCCCTGCTGCTGTTCCTGACGGGCTTGTGTAGCCCAGGCTATCCTCGGACTCTCCGTGTAGCTGAGGATGACCTTGAACCCTCGGACCCTCAGCCGCCACTGTGCCCTGCAGTGACCCCCCTCCCCTGCACGATGCACCCATTCCAATTCCGTTCCCCTTTGCAGGGAGCTGGGCCTCAGTTTCCCCGGCTGTACTGGGAGGTAAAGGAGCCTCAGGCAGTCCCTCCCTCCCACTCCAAGCTACGAGGCTTTTATATGCTAATACAGGTTCTCACAGGGCCCCCCTCTGCCCCCCTCGGCCCGCGTTTACATGACAGGGACCCGGGGGACACTCGGGGAGATCTGAGGGGAGATCTGAGGGTTCCTGCTGCCGTAGCCCGAGGCGGAGATGGAAGGGGAGCCGTGGGCCAACCCCACAGGCCGACCTCCGTCCTCTACGACGCCACTGGGTCAGGCCGGTCCCCCCTAGAGGACAGCTGGGGGACAGCGGGGGCGACACCAGGGCTGAGGCTGCAGGCAGGGCTGGGCGGGGGGAATGCGATTGGCCAGGAGCCGGGGAACCTGCCTGCAGAGAGGGATTGTGCGGTGCTGTCCGCCAGCCCCAAAGTCAGGGGGTGGGAGCAGGAGGATGGGGAGTTCGAGGTCGTCCTCGGCTGCGTGTGGAGTTCAACCACCCAGGTTACAGGAGATTGTCTCAAGAGGTTGCACAGAGAGAGCAAGAAACACCCTGGGGTAGCACAGCGTTGGCTTCACCCCCAAGCGCCCGGAAAGATGGTGCGACCCTGCGGGAGGTCGAGGAGGGAGGTCAGGCTGCCCTTCCCTCCGAGCTCTGTCTGCTTGCGGGGAAACTGAGGCTGAAGTTCGTGTCCGGCAGGAGTGGTGCGGACAGGGGGCCGCGTGGGTCCACCCTGGTGCTGACCGCTGACCGGCCCTCCCCTGCAGGTTTCAGGTGGGTGCCGTGGGCGACGGTGGCGGCTACACGGTGGAGGTGAGCATCAACGACTACCTGGACATCTACTGCCCGCACTACGGGGCGCCGCTGCCCCCGGCCGACCGCATGGAGCGATACATCCTGTACATGGTGAACGGCGAGGGCCACGCGTCCTGCGACCACCGGCAGCGAGGCTTCAAGCGCTGGGAGTGCAACCGGCCCGCGGCGCCCGGGGGGCCCCTCAAGTTCTCAGAGAAGTTCCAGCTCTTCACCCCCTTCTCCCTGGGCTTCGAGTTCCGGCCCGGCCACGAGTACTACTACATCTGTGAGTAGCCAAGGCTAGCCCCGTCGGCAAATGGGGAAACTGAGGCAGACAGAACTTTCCCAACTTTTGTCCAGCCCCGTGTTCCACAGCCCTGGGAGGAGGAGGAGGAGGAGGAGGAGGAGGAGGAGGAGGAGGAGGAGGAGGAGGAGGAGGAGGAGGGTGGGGAGATGGAGGGGTCTCCATTTCTGAGTTGTCTCCCGGAAGGCCCTGCAGGGAGCAGTGCCTCCGAGTTCCCGGGATGCAGCGGATGGGGTGCCACCACCCAGCCTTCCCGCTGTGTCAGATTAAGCGACAGCAGACCCCATTTCTCCTTCCTCCTCCTTTAAATCAAGGGAGAAGCGGGTGGGAATGGGCAGAAGGTGCTCACAGTGAAGTCCCGGGATATGAGGGACAAGATGACGTTTTTCTTTTCGAAATGGGAATCCTGGAAAGGTAACGAGCGTAACGATTCCTTCCGTCTCCGCGTTAGTTTTTACCGGTCCCAGCATGGGGGACAGGCGCTGCGGTGGTGTCCCCCCCACACACTGAGCTCCAGGTCTCCCCAGTCTGCGGCTCCTAGCCCAGCTGCCGCCGAGGAGCCACCCTCACGTAGCCCAGGCTAGCCTCAAACTCCGTAGAGGTCCAAGACCTTGAAGTCTGTGTCTCAGCTCCTCCTCCGCCAGGACGGCAGAGTGCACACCCAGATGTCGTAGTTGTTTACGTATTTGTGTGTGCACATGTTAACGCAAGTGCCCAGGCCCGCGGCCTCCTCCACATGCAGGTGCTCTGGATCCGAACGCGGGTCCCAGTGCTTGCTCAGTGACCTCTATACCCACCGAAGCTCCTCAGCCCTTACTTTGTTTCATTTTTATTTTATTTAAAATGTCACCCTAGGTTGGGGGTTCTGCATGGCTTTCATCCCAGCACTCGGGAGGCAGAGGCAGGGGCTTTTCTATGAGTTTCAAGCTATCTTAGACTAAGAGAGTTCCAGGACAGCCAGGGCTGCGTAAAGAGGCCCTGTCTCAAATCAATAAATGAATAAATAAAATAAAATCTCACCTTGTCACTGGGCTGAGACATAACTCAGCCTTTGGAGTCAGACTTGGATAGAGGAAACATGGAAGAAACTCCGGGAAACCTAGGGCATTGTCTCTGGGGTTTGACACGTGGCTAGGAGTTTTATGGGTGGGGTCAGCAATGTGGAGAAGGACTCATGGAGCCCCCAGAAGGTTGCCCTCTCTTCCAGCTGCCACACCTCCCAACCTTGTGGACCGGCCTTGCCTGCGACTGAAGGTTTACGTGCGTCCAACCAGTGAGTGTCTTTAGGGGCGGGGGAAGGACCCAGTTCTCCTCACCCTGCCCTTGGCCCCATGAGTGATCCAGAGAACTGGGGGTCGTGGGTTCCCGTCCCAGCACCCCCCCCCCGAGCCTGGGACCTTTGAGAGTGCCCAGCCCAACGGGGCCTGGCTGACGGCCGTCACCTGTGTCCCCACAGATGAGACCCTGTACGAGGCCCCGGAGCCCATCTTCACCAGTAACAGCTCCTGCAGCGGCCTCGGTGGCTGCCACCTCTTCCTCACCACGGTCCCTGTGCTGTGGACCCTGCTGGGCTCCTAGAGCCCGGACAGAGGACACCGGCCCCACACGGGCCCCTCGACCTTGGCCCTCGGACCGCCGCGGCCACCTTCGAGACAAAGTCCTTGCTGCTTCTCTTTCATGGTGCTGTCCCGCTGGAGGAGACCGTCCACTCGCCCGGGAGGCGGCACCGGGACCTGATGCCTGAGGAGGCGCCCCAGGCTGAGCCACTTTGTCCACGGTCCACAGAGAGCTCCAGGCCTCCCAGCGTTCTTTAGTTCGGTCAGAAAGACGTGAGGGTCTTCTGTTCATTTAATTTATTCCCTGATGTTGCTGGTGACGTTGGGACAGGCCGGTGGCGTGAGTGGGGCAGAGGATCTCCAGCCGCCCAGACGGACTCGGCAGGGTGCATGGTGCCAGCCCCTCACTCACTAGGGCCCTGGGGGCCTCGGGCCCCTCCTCTAGCCGCTGTCCAGCCCCCCTCCCTCCGCATCTGAGAAAGCCCTTCAGCCCTGCAGTCCACCCGGCCACCCGGGCCCCTCCACCAGGCACAGCCGTCTCCAGGGCCGGGAAGACGTTTTATTTCTGTAAATAGAAGCCAGCAAATGTGTACTGTGATTTATTTTAATGTATTCTTGAGGACAGAATGGAAGTTCTTTTTAAAAAAATTTTTTCCAGACCTTCGATTCGAGGGGACTTTTATTTTGGGGGGGAGGAGTGGGGTGGACTTTTTAGGATAGAAACAACACTTCGCAATAAACTCATTTTTTTGTCCGTTGGAGCCCTCCCCCCTCGATCATGTGACCTAGTAATGTTTGTAAGAAAAAAAAAAGCCAAAAAAAAAAAAAAATGGACGGGACTGAAAAGGAAGGGAAGCTGCCTACCAAAAATACAGAAAGAGCAAAGGCCGAGTGAAGCTGGCCACACAACACGTTTCTACGGATTTCGGATTTCTACCCACCTTTCCTCACTCTGTGTTTTATATATATTCTATATAAATATATATTGTGGATGGCCGCCATGGCGAGGGGTGGCTGGGGGGCTTTTGTAGGGGCGGGGGGACGGGTGGCCCGCCCCCTCATCACAATCCACTTTGAAGTCTGTATTTTTTTATAATAAAATGGACAAACTGTAAGGTGTTGGTGTCTGTCTGTCGGGGTGGGTTAGAATTTGGGCAGTTGGGAGGGTTCTGGGGAGTCCCTTGCTTGGGGCAGACTGCTTCCTGTCTGATCTCAGGGTACTGGGGGGTCTGCAGGTAGGAGGCCGGCTTCTTAGGGATCACCCCAATCCTCTGACAAAAGCCTGGCTTGAAGGCGCATGCCTGTCACCACAGCATGGCGGCACGAGAGGTGGAGGCAGCAGCCTTGGTGTACACAAAAGACTGCGTCTCCACACAATGGGAGGCTCGCCCGACCCCGAGATCGCCCTCTGACCTTTATACGTGCACCCCCCGACACACACACACACACACACACACACACACACACACACACACACACACATACACAGTAAATGAACCCTTCTGAGTCATCTCCATCGCCAAGCTACATTTCTGTGACTCAGTTTCCCCATGTGACTCAAGTGTGTGAGGGCTGTGGGTGATGTTCATCTCTCTCTTTGGGGGAAGGGAGGCCTAGGATTCCCCAGCTGAGGTTCCCCGTTTGGGGTTGCCGACAGGCATGGGGGTCACCCGTGAGAGGTGACCCCACAGGGTCTGGGACCCCAGCAGCGGCCCCTCGCCTGCCTGTCACCCGCAGCGACCGCGTTCGGGCACAATTAGCCAAGAGGCAACGCTCCGAGCCCATTAATTCAGCCGCTCTGGGCCCTGCAACGGGAGCTGCTTCCTAATGAGGCCGGTGGACCGTACAAAGGGCCTTGTGTCCACGCCGGCCCTGCCCAGTGGAAGGCGGGCCGACCGGCAGACGCTGCCTTGGGGAGGCCCGGCTGCACCGAGGATGAGCCGGAGCCCAGAGTGACACCCCCACCTGGACACCCAGACCAGGGTGCTGCCAGCCCCAGGAACCCTGACACTGCCAAGGTCACACGTAGGGAGGTGGCGCCAGCTACAAGCCAGGGTTTGGTGGCCAGCACTCAGGAGGTAGAGGCAGGTGGATCTCTGAGGTCAAGGCCAGCCTGGGCTACGGTGTGAGCCACCATAGAACAGAGGAGAAAAGAGTGAGGGCCCCAGAGACGGCTGGGTGGGTAAGCCTGCTTGCTGCATGCTGAGGACCCAAGTTCAAGTCCCAGAATCCATGGAAAAAGCCAGTCCAGGCCATGCAAGTTTACAACCCGGGGCCTGGGACAGGGACACAGGATCCAAGCGATGCAGATGAACCTCAGGGCCGGCTCCTCGGCCCGCTGTCCAGCCTGGGGCAGGTGCTGCTGCCTCTGAGGTCGGGACTCAGCAGACCAATGCCAGACTCCCCTGAGCTGCGGCCTGGGGCCCCCACCCCACCCCGGGCACCCCACCCAGGCCGAGTCCTGCAGTCCCCGGAGCCGAGGTGGCATCGGTATGCTCATCCTGTGTCTGCGTCTTTTCCACCCGAAGCTTCCGGAGAGAAGCAATCTCTCTCCCGCAGCCCTTTACTGCCGCCTCGGTAGCCACCGTGGGCAGGGGGTGGTGGCGTGGGGGACAACCAGGTTCGAGGTCCCCAGGGACCCTGATGATGCCTCTGGTCCCTCAGTTCTCAATAGAAAGCAACATCCACCTCCTCCCAGCCCCCCAAGCGAAAGCCATGCCTGCCTTTCTTTCTTTTTCTTTTCTTTCTTTCTTTCCTTTTTTTTTTTTTTTTTTAGACAAGGTCACACGTAGCCCAGGCTGCCCTTGCTGTGCAGCCCAGGATGACCTTGAACTCCGGATCCTCCTGCCTCCATCTCCCAAGTGCTGGGATGGCAGGTGTGTGCCACACCCAGCATGGTTTTTTTGCTTTTATGCAAGTAATTCTCCTTTGTCTAGATTTTTCTTTTCATCTTTGGACCCTCTGCCCCGCGGGTGAGGATCCAGGACTGTCTTAATCCCTGTCTGTCTCTGCCACCCAGAATGCACTTGGTACACAGTGGGCACTCAGTCAATGTCCGTTTACTGACTGAATAAATGTTGTATATATCTACGCAGATAAAGCTACATGATCAAAAAGGAAACAAGCATGTCAAACACAAATCACCCTGGGGCAGCCGAGGCAGAGGATGGGCAGTTTGGGGTCAGCCTTGGCTATGGAGCAAGAGGAGCCCACTTAAAAAAAAAAAAAAGACCTTTGCATGTTAAAACGAATAAATAGCAAACGTCTCTCATGTCAAGGTCAGAGCTCTCTTGGTGTGCACTAAGTGAGCACCAGCTGTGTGCAGACATCACTAGGCTCTGCCTCCACCTTGGCACCTGGCGGGACCTTCCCTTGCCCTGGGATGCAGCTGGGACACTCCGGCCCCTAAGCCAGGCTACAGGGGGACACCTGGACACAGCCCGGAGACACCGGGGAACCATGAATCACGAGAGATGACACGGGGCGGAAATTAACCAGACACAATTCCCCCGCGTGGCCGTGGGGACACCCGCAGACCTGAGGGCTTCCACCCAGGGATGCTAGTCTCAGGTGCTGGTGAGCAGCCACTGAGGGTGGGGGCGTGGCCTGATGGGGCGGAGCCTGGGGCAGGTGCCTGTGGGACTGGACTTCCTGGGAGGGGGCGGAGTCGAAGGTCAGAAGCAAGGTGGGAGGGACGTGATCCGGGAGGGGTGGGACTTGGGGTTCACTCCTGAAGCCCCTGCAGGTGTGGGAGGGGAGCTGCACCCCCAAACGTGGATGGACAGAGCTTCTGGGGCTCCCCGACCCAGCCATGCCACAGAGGACTTAGGCAAGTGTTTCTGCTTTTATTGAGGCCAGGGAGGGAGGGGGTGGGGTGGGGACTCAAGGCTGGGGACCGGGGACTTGGTGAGTCATACAGGCCTGGGACCCCTCTGGCTGGGTAGGGTCAGAATCCCTCCTGAGCTCCCCACCTTCACCCTCTACACTTACTGGCTCACAGACCAGGCCTGAGAGAGGAAGGGACTCCATCTGGGTCCCCTAGGGAGTGTCCACCCAGACTCTCCTAACCCCATCGATGGAAAATGGAGGTCTAGGAACCCGGAGGGAAGGTTCAGTTGGCCTTATGGGCAGTGTGGCCCACGGGAGGGAGGCTGGGTGGAGATGGAGAAACTGAGGCCTCTCTTAGGCCCCACGGGTCGATGGGATAGGACCAGGATCATTGAGCTGGGCGGAGAGGACTGTGTGCTGGACCAGGTCTGATGAAGCCAAGGCACAGTCAGGGTCCCTTCCCTGTAAAGCTGGTCCCCACTGTCCTTTCTCTGTCTTTGCATTGGGGGGGGGGCTAAAATTCTACCCCAACCCTGCTCCCACAGTGGACCTAACTCCTGGGGATAAGAGAATCTTCCAGCACACCTTTAATCCCAGCACTCAGGAGGCAGGGACAGGCAGATCTCGAGGCCAGCCTGGGCTACAGGGCTTCACAGAGAAACGCTGTCTCGAAAAACAAAAATCAAAATTATATCTAGTTTCTGATGCTTCTTGGGCTAGCCGCTTCTCCCAAAGGAGAGAAATAATTGCTTTTCCTGCTGGGCCTCAGTTTACCCATCTGTACCACAGGCTAGACCTACTTTATAGTTGACCGAGG